AACGTTTCAGATTCTATTATTTCTGCACAAAATTTGCCAAAGCAGCCAAACTAACAGAGAGAGAGAGAGGTTAAAGAGATGGATCACATACAAGAGCTGCGGTTGAAACGGGTAGATGCAGCAGTGAGGAGTCGGGATATGCATGGTTACGGGTCAGGCAGCGGTCTCCGTTTCAGGTCAATGCAAAACAAGAAACCCAGGACAAATGTTTGCCTCCCAGGAAGAAGACGGTGTGCTTCAATACTGTGTGTCTGTTCCAATCTGCTTCCAAATCGCTACAAGTGAGTTTGTTAGTAAAGTACAATCAGACAGACAGTGTTGTCTTTGCCTTCCCTTTCTTGCTCAGACTGCAGCCCCTCAGTGTGTTACACATGTAACAGGTGTGCATTTTTTCCCTTTGACCTTGTGGCTGGATGTTTTTCCAAAGAACAAAAGAAAATATGGGAGTGGCGACACTTTCAAACGTTTTTTTTCTTTTTTCTTTTTTCTTTAAAGGACAAGACAGGACTTGACCCTAATTCTATCCCAATTTTGGTGTTGGCTGTGACACCAAGGTGCGGTCTGATGTTTTGTGGAGTCTTATCGCAGTGCTAGGATCCCATCAGAGGGGGATACGGTTTCCTTTTCCAAATGATGGAACGCTTCCTCGATTATTGTTAAAGCCCCTCTTCCAATCTTTGTACTTAACTGCTGATTTCAGCCAAAGTAAGCAGATAATGTGTGCTTATGGTTTGCAAACTAAACGGGATCTCAGGAAAAAAGATGAGGTGTGATTTTTTTTGCCATATTTTTATGAAAACTGGGACTCAAACTGCAGAAACCATCGGGCCACTGGTACTGGTCCTTGAGAACTTTTATTACCGAGCCACACATAAACTTATTATATTTCAGTTTTGTCATGGATAAAATTCCCCAGCAGCATATGCAATCTACTGGGGCCTCATCACATTTTGCTATAGAGGAAGCACCTCTCACCCAAACCCAGTGCCTCATACTTTGTCATTGAGAAAATATTCTCCATTGTCACATCATACTTTCATGTAGGGGAAGCACATCCCCAAACTGCCCTCACTATCACTCTTGGTCATAAGGGGAAGAACCCCCCTCCCGAGCCTCCAACACCCAGCCCGTCATATTTTGTCCAAAAGGAAGCAACAACGTCAACAAAAGACAAAGAAGAATCAGTCCGTGGCAGAAAAAAAGTCGGTATGTCGCGAGTTTTTAAATCTAAGGTTGTCCAACTTTACTTATTGGTTTCACCAACCAACATGAGGGTGTGTTATCACTCCCAGATGGTATGGATTTGTGCTTAAAAAGAAAATAGTATTGTTTTCAGAGAAGTGGAAGAAACTGTAGTAAAAGACAAAAAAAAAAAAAAAGCCAATATCTGACCCATATTTGATTTTGTCACAGCTATCTGAACAACCCAATTCCAATATTTTACCCCCCACCCTACCAAAAAAGTCTGATCTGTCACTTCCATATGTGACACTGAATCATATTTGAATCTAATTGTTTTTAAAGCGTCTGCAGGCTGAACAGTCTCGTCGCAGTTAATACGACTTTCACGTCATTGACACAAGACACGCGTCATAATTCTGCACCAGAAGAAACCAGATGTGGTAGATCTGGATTTAAGCAGTGGCTGAAAATCAGAATCATGAACTTTGTCAGTAAACCGCATCACATTACAATACCACCACTCTTGGTCCCGTTGATGGACGTTGCAGGCAATGCTCTACAAATCACCGCTGCTGTTAGCTGTGGCGTCTCTTCATTAGCTTCCCTCGTCTTATTATGATCTTGTGACGAATCTGAATAACTTTACAGCAGCATCAATTATCACTTCTGTAAACAGAGCGCAACTGTGTGAGGTCAACGTTATTCTTCTGTGACTGCTGGTCGCGTTAGGGACAGAAAGCATTCACACATAAGACTGGTTGTAGTATCAATGACCACACACACACACAAAAATTATTTGAGTCAAAGAAAAACCAGAATTAAGCATCAAGACCCGCTGTGAATGTAGCCTGAGAGAAAGGCTGAAGCATTTGAGTCCATTTTGTAAAAAATTGTGGGTAAAGCCAATAGACTTTAGCGAACCTGCACAACGATATTTTCTTTATGATCGCAAAATGCAAAAAAAGGAAGCAGAAATCAATTGTCTTATCCCCTCAGGTTTATTGATATGAACAATCACTTAGGTTTGTTGAAATATAAACACAAATAAGCCTTGAAGTTTCATTACACATAATCTCATTATCGTACAGTTCCTGGAGACTCATTAGCTGTCCCTGAAGAGCGACATGGGACCCAAGGGCGGGGATGGAGGCTCGGACGCATCTGAGTGGCGTGTGTTGTGTCTGACTGAGACCAGTCAAGAGTTTCTGGTGTCAACACAGGAAAACGTCAGGCTTAAGTCCCCGACTTGGCACTGAATCTTAAAAAGGTCAGCGGCACCTCTGGCATTGCTACAAGGCTCCGGCTAGATGCTGCCGATCAGCTGAGAAGCGGCGACTGGCGGCTAATGCCGACCGTCGGCTAATGCCGACCGTCCTCAAAGACAAGGACTTGCGACAGAACTTGCCTGCGCCCGACTTTCACGCTGTTTCAGGAGGGAGCGGGTAAACCAGGTGGTACGGACGCAACCAAATTCTCCCACCGTTTGACTGAACTTTACTGCCTCCCTGTGCGTCTTTGTCAGAGCCTGTTGCTACCCGTTTAACCCCTCAGTCCAGAACCATTCCTCCAATGCAGTCCTTCAGACAGCATCCGCCAAAGCAACCCATTGCGTTCTTTATGCAGCATTTCTTAATGCCTCCTTTATTATTAATCTGTCTTGATTCATGTTTCTGCCTGTGAAGGGAACAATCTGCTCCTGCACTGCTGCACTTCTTTTTTTTTTTTTAGCTTAAAAAAAGAGAGAGAGAGACAGAGAGAGAGAGAGACAGGGCGAACAAGGCAGCCAGGCATGCTCCGGCAGTGAGCTGGGCCTCTGCGCTAGATAAAAAAAAAAAAAGGTAAGTTGTTCACATTCCTGCTTCATGCACAAACCAAACCCCAATGTCACACACACACACACACACACACACACACACACACACACACACACACACACACACACACACACACAGTGCTTCTGGTAAGGCAAAAAGGATTGAATTTGTGTGTGTGCGCGTGCGTGCGTGTGTGAGTGTGTGTGTGCGTGTGTGTGTGTGTGCGTGTGTGGCCCTTCTGCCTCCTGTGTTTTACCTCTTGCCCAAGTTTGATCCGACTACAGAGCAAGACGGTTACAAAACCTGATTAAGTGTGTGCTGATATAGACTGGGTTCACCTCTCCCATACAGAAAAAAAAAGAAAATGAACATGCAAGGACATTTTTTGTGTCTGCTTTGAAGACTGATTATTGAAAGTAACTTTGTGTAATCTACTCCTGGTCTACTGCAAGAAAATGTGGTTGCGTGACCGAAACTTTTGGTTAAATCGCAAGGAATCAGCAAAGGAGCAGTTTGAAATTCTTGTTGTTTGGCACCTTGAGTAAAAGTCCAACTGTTTCACGGGATGTCCACTGTGATTTTAAAGGAAAATGCATAATAAGACTTAGCTGAGAGAGGGGAAAGAGTAGCCACCTTATTTCAGCCAGCTGACTGGCAGTGCACAGCAACAGGTTGGAAGAGAAGCAGCACTGCATCTTTCTCTAGTGTCTAATTACAAATATTTTAAAGAGCGGAGTACCTTTATACCAACAGTAACTGGACTGTATTTGACAATAGAAGATGTTTAGATTAAAATAGAACTACAGAACATTCTGTGTGAAATTTGAGGAGTTTATTGTCATTCATGTTCAGTATTTAAAATAAAAAAAAGAACTGCAAAAAAATAAACTGCCTCTAGTGATATAGTTTGTTTGCAACAGAGAATACAAAGCACAGGTAACAAACTGATCTGTACAGAGTAAACGCAATGGCAGAAAAGTACGCTTTGTCCGCATATATGTTCACCTGGACACACGTGGAGTGTGTGTTGGCCCAGAGATCAGAAACGGACACTTTTCCCCTTGATCTGCTCTGATCAGTGGTCAACAATTCAAAGACTGAAGATTCTGATGATTTTTTCCGCATTTCAGGACATAAAAACTACAATTTTTCATTATTTTATATCCATAAACACAGTCGACCGACTACTGGTACTTTGATGCACTTTTTCTTTCCTTGCTGGTTTTGCTCTGGTCAGCATGTGGGAGTAGCTCTTGTTATGCTAGCTCAGTTTTTGAATCATAGTGTGATATACAGCTATTAGGACTTTTACTATCACTTTTTTATGTTTAGAACCATGGCAACAAGGTGTTTTGTTTTGCAACTAGGAGCAGCTGATTAGCATCTAAAAAGCTAAATAAAAAAATACCTACGAGACTGACATATAGCAGCAGTCTTCAGTCAGAGGCCTCTTCAGATTTGCTGCAAGACTGGCTGCTACTGGAGCTCCGTCTTGCCATCAGAATTTCAATCCGAAAATGACTTTGAAGGTACAATAACTTTTAATTTTCTTTGTCCTGATCTGAATTGATCGAAAATCAAATATCGCTTAAGGACCCGTGCAGATCAGACCCTCCCAAAGAAAATCGTTTCTGGATTTGCATTGACAAAAAATGCTTTTAAAAAACTCTTTGCAAGCTTTTCTTTACTTTATCTCAGTTTAAAGGGTCACCCTCCCCCCACCCTCCACCCCCTCCACCCCTGACAGCTTGCCATGCGTTACAACTTGCCAAAACCACATAAACCTTTGCATTACACAAGAACACCGAGGCCTTGCAGCAAGGAGAAGAAAGAGAAAGCGAGCGATCCCATACTACTACTATAAAAGGAATGTGATGGTGAAGGGAGGGCCGCTGCACCACCAACATTGTTATTATCTTTCCCAAAGAGTCAGGGAGGCTGTGTGCACGAAACGGGCCAAACGAGAAGTCAAAAATAATGGAAGATGAGGAAAAGACAACTCACCCCAATCCAAGAACTCCAGGATATTTTTCTCCCTTCTGATGGGGGAGTTGTTGCACTCGTCGTACAGACACACCAGTATATCCAGCAGGGTTTCCACACTCAGACACTGGCCATTAGACTGAGCTGGGCCGTCCAGGAGCAGCTTCTCCAGCTTCTTCAAACGCACCTCTCCCGACATGTTTTGTTCAGGCCTGTTAGCTTCTGAAGGCAATCAAAAAAATGTAAAAATAAAAAATAGTCGTAATAATAATAATAACGATAATACTGATGATTGTAATAAAATCAGGAGGGGGCGGAGGGGGGTGGGGGTGGCAGCGGGTGGAGAACCCCACCTTCTGGCCCTGTTGGTTGGCGCAGAAGGGCCTGGAGAGAAACTTCTCTCACCTTGAGGATGTCTTGAAAATATTCAAACTTTGCGTCGCGGGCACAATGGAGCTCGTTCCGTTCGCAAAACCGACCCTCTCATGATCTCCCCGTTCAGATCCAGCATCCATAAGGTGGGTGAGACGTGAACGATTCCCCCGTTATTTTGTTAACCTCCCCCCCTCGCCCCCCTGTGCCCGCTCCCCTCCGGGCGCATAAGAAAACAAGCAGGCGAGTCCCAGGCTGCCCCAGGCCGGTGGATTCCTGCAGCTCCCTCCGCTCTTCTGCGCTCTCTGGGGGGCCGAGGGGGGGAAAAACAGTGCAGAATCAAGTTGGTGCTCCCTTTTCAAAGCGAAACAAAAAGAAATAAAAAATAAAAAAAATCAGCAGTCTTCACTGAGCTGGTGCCGAGGCAGATGTTTGGGGTTCTCCATTCTTCCAGCGAGCCCTGAAACGCAACGGCAGACCCGCAGTGCTACGGAGAGCCCCGGCGCCCCTCCTCTGCTCCAGGAATGAAAGGGCGACACAGGCTTAGTGAGCAAGCCCGCTGCTAGCTTAGCTCCGGAGCTAGCCAGGGAGAACTGACGCTAACGCTACTTTTCTTCCCCTCTAAATGCCATCTTTCCTCTCTCCCCCCCCCCCCCGCACCCCACCTCACCAAAGGACACGCAGTAAGCGCACACTTCCAATATTTCTGCGACAGTTCTTCCTTCTTTCTTGCTGGGCTGCGTTCCCCTCACTCACTGCTGGCAGATATGTTCTTTAAATCCCATTCTTCGTCCAGAAACCAAACGTCTCCCTAGTTTGGTCTGCAGTTACCTTCGAGTTTCCAGTCGGAGGACAAAATGCGGCTCTTTCTGTTGAAGGTTACAAAGAACCTCGTTTCACGTCAAAAAGAGAAAACAAACTTTCAACAACAACAACAAAAAAAGACTATCTGTATTCTTGTCCTGGTTATTCCAAATACGGGACACTGTCTGAATGTTCCCCCCTCCCGTCTTTTCCTTTCCTTTGCGCCGCCTGCCTGCCTCCCCCGCCGGTCTGTGTCGGTCGCTTCTCGCCGTCTTTGCACAGTCAGGCTGTCAGAGACCGTAAACGAGGAGGAGACAGCCGAGCGGACCGCTCCTTCTGCAACGCCGCGGTGGATTGTGGGAAAACCCAACGAGAAAACCCAGGAGGCTGGGATATTAGCTAGCTTTCGACGCCTCAGAAATCACGAAACGGCACCGTCTCATTTGAATGTGTTTGCATTGACATTGGTGTTGACGAGGCAGCAACAGGAGGCTGGGATATTTGTTTTGAGACGCGCAAATATGAAGGTCAAAAAACACCCTTCAAATCTCCAGCACTGCAAAATAATTTTCTTTCTTTAAAAAAAATGACATTAAGAATTTAAACAGAACAGACAGAATTGGATTTGAGGTTCTTTGAATGAACCAAAAATCTCAGTTTGCTTGATACCGATGCTCATCATACCGGCTTGCTTTTATTTTTAATCCCAGTTTTTTATTTTTCTGGGATTATGTATATGTGTATATATTTGCGCATAAATTGGACCAAAGTTTGAATGCACAGTATTTGGCTCCTCTGAAACCCACTAGAAATAGCATGAAGTACTATGGATGACCTTTAACCTCCCGGGTCTTATGGAGCACCCTTCCCCATGTCCTCGTTCCCTGTCTCAATAAGTGGAGAGCCTTGCACATGTGTCCATGTGAACTGGACACATTTCACATGCACAGTGATTTCCATGCAATTTTGGCACCCAAATGCATTTTTTTTTTTTTTTTTTTTTTGCTTGTTCACACAAACGCAATTGTAACTCTTGTTGTATCGCCGATGCTACAAATTGGATTTTTCGCTCGGCTATAGTGTTTGGTGAGAAAACTTTACTTGACTTAGGCCCTAAAATCGCTTCTTCTCGTCACCATACCGACCACAACAAATCCGCCATGATTATTTCCTGTGCGCCTTCACAGACGTCTTTCCTTCTCGCAGCTCATCTCCCCGGGTTGGCACGATCTCTGGCGGCTGCTGCAGGCAAAATCCCAGCTCATCATCATCATCATCATCATGGCGCCCCCGTCACAGCATCTGCTGTACAGAGAGGAGGTGAGGGGGAGTGGCGGGACTTGGACTGGTTGTGGTGCGGGTTGTCAATATTGTGAATGGAAACTGCAGGTTGTGTGTCTGCTGTTGCTGGTAGTGGTGGTGGTGCAGCAGCGAGAACATGATTTTCTGCGTGACTGACTGTGCTTGTCCCTTTAAGAGGCTATATTACACTGAAGTTATGGAGATATACCGTTGCAGTGGCGTGGTCTGCGTCTGACACCTGGCCCCTATGGAAGCCCCAACGTGACACAATTTAATAATAATTGACCTTCAATAATTTATTTGAGCAAATTATTGTTTTATTGAGCTTTATATAATATTTGTTAGTATGCATCAATAATTTATTAATGATAATTTAATATTTATCTATATTTAGATGTGCTTAAAAATAGTGCCATAACAATAATAATAATAACTATTATTATTATTCTGAAAACACAGTTTAATTAATTGGATATATCAATATCTATACTAAATATATCTATGTCACATGCAAATGTTTTAACACTTGTTTCACCAACAGAATTCCTAAACTATGTTTATATGGTTATGGAAGACCATCAATGCCATTGTTTAAAATTTTTTTTTCAAAACAATTAAAAAACAAGCCATTAGAAATAACTTCAGTGGGTCAATATTTCATTCAAATATGAAAAGAAAGAATTGAATAATTTCAGCAAATATTTAAATAAGAATGACACACTTTCACTATTTGATTAACTTTTTTGTACATAGGATCAAATTGAAGTTTGTGAATTCTAAATTTTGTATATTCTGACTGTATCTTTGTCTGATATTAAAGGATCTGAAGTACTTGTGACAAAAAGGCACAAACAGAAAAAACCTGTAAGAGCTGAATACTTTTTGACAGCACGTTGCCATAAGTACGACAAGTTTTTATTTTGTTTGTTTGTTTGTTTTTTGCTTTGTTTTATTTACACTTTGGGATCTCATGCTGCACCTTGTGCACATTTATTTGTTCCAAGAAAGTTTTGTTTGAATTTAATGATAATAAATTTAAAAAATTAAAAAAAAAGCTTTCATTAAGAAATAAATATATTTGCATCCAGCCTTGCCCATGAATGAAAATATGAATGAATGAGAACGTTCCAGACGGGAGTTCTCTTTGAGAGAACAACAGCGACCTCTGGTGTAAGTTATGTCTTACTGCAACCTTGGTCAGTTTATGTTGTGATTTTTATTTATTTATTTATTTATTTATTTATTAGTCAGCGGTTTCAATTTTGCTTTTGTGTCTTTAACACTTTTAAGTTTTTGTAATGTATGTCAATAATATGCTGAAATATAACTCCAAAACATTTGAGAGACCTTCATTAGCAAATGAAATAAGCATGTCATATTTTTTCACAATTGATGCAACTCACTCTATAGAGTAGATATTAGCTTCTGTATCAAATTCTGACCCATTGGGACCCATCCTTGTCTTATCAGCTGGATTTGAAAAGTACCATCTTGCAGTAGAAATATGTAAATGTAGTATTTGAAAAAAACTGAGAACATTTTTAAAACTGATCTTTTGCGCTACCTTTAAACACTTCTCAGTTCTCAATCATTTTGGGCCAAGGTTAGGATGTCCTACTGCTGCGAGGGTAAAGATTCCCAGCCCATAAACTTGGCAGGCAGGGCAAGGAGAGCATTAATCAGAGAAGGCAACTCTGGAGGAGCTGCAGAAATCCGCAGCTCAGGTGAAACAACCTGTCCAATCTGGTCTTGAATTGGTCAGATGAGACTGAAATATTTTCTTCATCCGTTCAGTTATCCATACACACTCATGCCTAAAGTGATTATTTAAGAGTTTTGGAATCTGGGAGGAAGTCAGAGAACTGGGAGAAAACCCACAAATGCATGAGCAGGACAAAAAAAAAAAAAAAACTACATAGGAAGAAAGGTAAAAAAAAAGTATTAGGATCTGGGGTTGCTTTTCTCCACAGGAAAAGGGAGATGCTAAATACCTCCTTTAAGTCTATTGTTAAGAATGTTCTCTCTAAATGTTGACCCAAAAAGCCTCATCAACGTGATAAAGAAGGCTGGTTCCTTCCTGGGGCCGACTGTGGAACCTCTGCAGATGACGATGCAAAGAAGGATCCTTCATAAAACCAAGAAAATTGACTCTCTTTTTAAGACTGTTCTGGGAAAACAGAATACCTTCAGTCAGAGGCTGCTTCAAATTCAACGTAATACGGACAGCTACAGGAGATCTTTCCTGCCAACAGCCATCACTGTCTACAATAAATCTGTGAAGAATTACATTTAATTTCCCTTTGAGATCAATAAAGTATTCTGCATATAAAATTTTTGGGCTTGAATTGATGGCTGGAGACTCTCCCTACACCCTGCACATGCAGTCAGAGATACAGTGAAAGGGTTAGGTCGAAGTATACTTGTGTGTTAAAATGGTCCAGCCAAAGTCCAGACCTGAATCCAATGGAAAAAGCCGGAAAACTGCTATAAATGAAAACCAGTGAAAGAACACGTGTTTTCTGCACGGGCGGAAGTATCCAGAATGTCGACTATTAATTAGACCCTGATTTAAAAAGGTTAAGTTTTCCCTATTAATCACGTCTGATCCTATTGGGTTAAGTCTACAGACGGATTAGGTCCGTGGCCCCGGCGTCTCTGGCCCTCATTATGAGTGTGAAACGCAATCATCGTCCAGCAGCAGTCGGCGCATGGGGCTTTTGTGTCCAGGGTCTGGCGTCTTTGACTCCGATCGATGATTATTGGCGGGCCGCCTCGAGGAGTCCTCCCCAGACGGCGCTCTGCAGCTGCGGAGACATGCGCAAAGAACCCCATAACTATGAAGGTGCAAAGTGAGCGCATCGTTTCCGCAAATATTTGACGTCGAGATAAGTCAGGAAGTCGGCGACAATGTGAATAATGAGGAGTTTGCGGGGAGGCCACCAACACAAGTTCAATATTGACTCTTTTCTTTTGGGAGCATGCAGGAACATGCATGCATGCATGTCCCCGCACCCCACCCACACCCCTCTTCCGAGCTTGTTTCCCTGGGAGACAGAAAAAAGAGAGAGAGAGAAATGCGCAAGAGAAAGCGCAAACGCAAGCCGCCCCATGCACAGCGCCTCTCTGCAAACAATGGCTTCTGCAGCCAATGATTCACAAATGGAAGGGAATGAGCTATAAATTGGACCGCTTTTCAATGCAAATGCCTGGATGTTAATTAACACCCGCGTTGTTGATTGCGGGAGATGGGGTTTCTTTTGGAGGAGGAGGAGGAGGGGGCGTTGGGGTCCTTTGATTGAAAAGAAATGCCACCTCGGAACATCAGATGGGATCTTTGAACTCGGCAACCTATCTCTGATTGGGAGGAGGACAGACTGAGAAATGTCACACAAAAGGCATCCTAATTTCCCCGAATTAGAGGCTGTAATGTGAGCGCCGGGGGCTTTGAATAGGCCTGTGTGTATTTTAGGCTGCGGAGAGACATCGGCTTTTTTCGGCTGGACTGGACGACTGTCCTGAATCTCCATGTCTGCTGCATGTCTGCTGGGATGTAAAACATTTTGTTCTGGTGTTGGTCATGATATTTAGGATCTGCCTGATTGTTTTCCATGTTCAAAAGATGCAAATCCATTCATGGACATTTTGATTATTTTGCAATTCACCAGTATAACAATTCGGCTAAAGGTGTTATGAGGGCTTTAAAAGTGAACTCTAGGTTTCTTACACACCCATGATTCTGAAGCCTCGTTGAGTTTTGGGTCTACAATACGAGACATAAAACTGGAACTGGACTGAAGGAGCGATGCTAAATAGACAGGGGCCCCAGGATGGAGACTTGGGGAACCCCACATGTAATCTTGGTTTGTGTAAATTTCCAACAAAACGTAGCTCTAGTTTGTTGACTTTAACAGCTTTTTGTTAGCAAGTCATAGCTTAATACTTAGAGTTTTTAACAATGAAACTGTAAGGCTGTTCACATGGGTTGCGTAATAAACTTTAAAAATAAAACTTAAGTTGGGTCATAAGATTTAAGGAGAGTTAAGAAGTTTTTTGTCCTGGAGCAGAGGTTTGAGTTTGTGTCTGGCTTTAGTTAGTTTAGCAACAATGTCAGGCAGTTGTTGCAGACGAACGTCACTGCAGTTGCCATGGAGGGGATCCTCTGAATCCACAACACCTTGACTCTGCACCCAACTATTGTATCCTTTTTAACCAGGGGTTTGTTGGTTTCTGGTGTATATTTTCATGAAAGATGATTCTGGATTGGACAACGTGCAAGGGATTGCTCCAAAGTTCACGGCACAACCTAAGAGATTGTTGCTTCTGGTGCTGAAAGCTGCAAGTCAGTGACTCAAGGCAGTGACTCTCTTTTGAAGGATCACATATTGATCTCCACACTGCTGATTCTATTAAATGTTTGTAACTTCTGCAGAAAAAATCAGTCATTTCAGGAACAATAACAGCATGATCTCATAAGCTGATGCTGGCTTAATTTTGGGAAAGAAAACTTAATTAAAATAATCAAATGAACCCAAAATGAATCCATCTTGATGACTCTTTCCTGAGTCATCAAGATGGATGCCTCAAACATATACACAATGACTGGCCCTCTGGATGTGGACAATTGCAGTGCATTGCAGCAAACTGAATTTTTTTTTGTTGTTGCAAGAAGTTTGAAACACAGATCACAGTCCTTTTCTGCTTCTTTGTGCAAAAGAAGCAAATGTAATGTGCAGACTGGTGGAGGTCTAATCTGTGCACCTCCTTCGTTCTGAATCGCCTCGTGTGTTTTTCTCATCGTACTCCAAACCGGCGGCGGAGGGTCCCGTCGTTCCCCTGCCGCTAATTAATAATTTGTCTTGTCGGAAAGCTGCTGGCTGATGAACGCAGGTCTGGCAGTCATCTGTCATTTGCTCTTCCTGTTGCCCCCTTCAGTCTGTCTGACATCTCTGAGCAAACGTGGGCCCAATACACATCCAGGGGGGCCCACGGGAGGCCCCCTTTCTGGGGGTTAGCCAGCGAGAGCTCACCGCTTCTAATGTTTGTGTGACAAAAAAGGCAAGGCAAATCCTCGCAATGGAATCAGATAATCACCCGCCTGTGAAGAGCCTGCCCCAATCCACATCCATGGGCAGGCTAGGAGCTCAGGAGAGGGAAAGGGGGGCTTGGAAGGAGGGTGGAGGGCTGGATTAACACTCTGTTTGGTTAATAATTTTAATCTGCTGGACTGTTTCAGAGTGTGGAATAAACATCTACTCCTTCTGCTCTCTTTCGTTTCCTCCTTTCAGAGACGACCTCTTGTCTCTGTTGCACGTTCATCAGACGTCTAACGCCCCACCACCACGGAGCCTCCGCCGGGCAAAACTGGCAACCCAGACAACAGCGAGGCCCCGCTGAGCGACGGGCTCCTGTCAGACCGACCCGGCCTGATGTCGTGCGGTGGAATGTACGCGTGGGCCGCCGAGGAGAGGGCACTTCAGGGTCAAGAGTCTGTCTGTCTGTCTGGGGGTGGTAGGGTGGAGGAAAAATGTGCAGGAAACATACAACTTGAAGGAGAGCAGGATCATTTCTTTGAAATTCAAGTTGCAAACTCGAGAAAAGATGGCTCATTTTGCTCTTAGGAGACAATATTTACATTCATAAATATATTCAGAAATTGCATCAGCCACTTTGTAGCCGAAACGACAGGCAAAAACACCCACATTTTAATAACCACTCCATTTGGATCATTTAAAACAATATATACATACATATTTTAATGGCATGCTCATATCCAAAGATACAAGCATACAAGCAGCTACTTTGTAATAATAATAATAATAATAATAATATATTTTATTCATAATTTTGAGAACTCAAAAGGCTACAAAGGCTTTTAAAAAAATAAGACAAGCAATTACAATGGGTAAAAATAATTTGAAGAAATGAATAAATGAAAGAGTTTAAAATAAATATCTGAGAAAGTGAACCAAAAACGAAAGAGCAGAATAATTAGCTGAACACCATTTCCATTTCTGTTTGAGAGGAAGGAGGGAGAAGTGAACACTTCTTTAATAATAATAGTAATAATAATAATAATTATTATTATTATAACAATAACAGTTGTAAATAACCAATTGTTTCTATCTGTCCATCTGTGTTGTTACCTTTGAATCTGGTTCCCCTAAATAAAATCCGGTGCAACAAATTGCCCTCAGACTAGTTAAATACCCAGGTAATTATGTGTCTATGTATAGTAGGAGGGTAAAAAGAAGAAAATCTCATTTAAAAAGAAAGTCTCCAAAGGGTTACTTTTGTTTCTAGAAAAGACAACACAACGATCAGTGAAGTTTTGTTTTTATGACAATCCCACAAAATGCATGAAATCTTAGAAGTATCTATTTTGTTTCAGGTTAAATGTCATCTGTGGAGGTTTAACGTATTTCTAGTGCAGTTCTGGTGAATACACGCCTCCACATGGTGGACGGCACTCAAGTCTAGCTAATGGTCTCTGTTTGAAGTATGGCCATTTAGATATCCTGTTTAAGATGGGGCTGTATTGTCGCACCTTTGTTCTGATAAGATGGGGCCCCTGCCCCCATCGACAAAGTGCGAACCGCCTGGGAGGGCCGCGGCGATATAAAAGGGGCCGGTGAAGTGTCACGGACACGCCGTGCTTCTGTTCAGTGACCAGCGCTTTCGCTCTCCTAAAAAGCCTCGCCATGGATTTTCTCCGCGCCTTTTGCGTCCTGTGCGCCGCGTTCCCGGTGCCCGGCGGCGCCTTTACGCACGACGACATGAAGGACGCGCTGCTGCAAAGGCTCGGCCTGGACGAAGTTCCCAAAATCCAAAAGAGGGACCTGGACAACCTGCTCGTCCCGGCGCACATCAAGAACAAGTACCTCTCCATGCTGAAGACGCACCACAGCCGGAGGAGACGCAGGTCTCTGCCCAGCCTGGTGGGCATCCTGAGGGGGGTCCCCGGCAATGCAGGTAAGGGTGATTTATTTATTTATCTTTTTTTGTTTTTGTCATTTACTTAAATACATTAACTGTGATTTTTGTGCGTAATTGTGCGCAAATTATTCATTTTTTGGAAGCAGGAACGGAACTATTAAAACAGACAAGAAGGGAAAAAAAACAAATTACAAGAATAAAGTCGTAGTAATAGCAGAACTACTTCATTCTCATAATATTATGACTTTTTTCTCTTTTATTCTCACAATGTTACTTTTATTTATTTATTGTCATTTTATAACTTACTTACCCAATATAATTTGTTACTATTATTATTTATCATGGCCCTAACGCAGAAAATCCCAACCAAATTATAATATTTCCCCCATCCAAATCACAATATTTGCCCCTTCTGGCACCGGCGCCCCCTGTTGCGTCAAAGCACCCGACAGAAACCGACTGAAAAGCGAACGTTTGTTCCCGCTGTTCCAGACATCTCCGGGGACTACTTGTACTCCGACACCACCCGGCATCGCCTGGCCTTCGACATGGAGGCGAGGATCCCGGATAACAGCGAGGTGACCATGGCGGAGCTGAGGCTCTATCAGCGGGCCTCGCACCACAAGCGGCTCGCCGCGGAGAGGAAGAGCCAGCGGCCCGTCAACAACGCCCGGGTCAGCATCTACTGGGTGGAGGTGCTGCCCGGCGGCTCCAACCGGACCTCCCTTGTGGATTCGCGGTAGGCAGACGCGCACGAGCAGCGCAACAAAGAAAAAGTTGACACTCTCCTTGACTCGTCGCCCTTATCGCGTTTCCACAGGTTGATTCCAATTCACGAGACCGGCTGGAAGAGCTTTGACGTCACCCAGGCGGTGCTCTATTGGTCCAAGACGCAGCAGCGGAACACCCCCATGCACCTCGAGGTGTGGCTCGAGGGCGAGAGACCCGGCAGCTACGCCGCGGAGGTGGCGAGGAGCGTCCGCTTCACCACCCAGGAGCAGACCGGCAGCCCGGGGAGGCCCGAGCTCATCCTCTACACGCTCAGCCTGGAGGAGTACGGGTGAGCGCGAGAGCTTCCTGCGGCACACGGCCCGCTCGTGTCAGTGTGGAAATGAGGCCACGCGATCCTTTTTACGTTTCCTAAAAAGATATTTAAATACTTAAAGCTATTTAAATATAAACGAATTCATGTTTAAGTTGTGCTGTCAAACAGTAGCATGAAGGAGTTTTTTTCAGCATTCTCTTTAGTATTCTGTGTCGACTTTGTCGTTGCTTTTAGTCTACTTCGACCATGTTAGCTTTCTGTACAGAGTTTTTTGAATATTGCTTGATTTTGAGCATTTTTTGTCTCTGTTCGAGTTCTTTTTAGTATTATTTAGCTACTTTGACATTCTTCTTAGCTTTCTTGAGCTATGTCAGTGTTTTCTGACGACGTTAGTGTTGTTTTTACTGTCGTTTGACTACATTTTTAGCTTTTTTTTTACTCTGTTAGCAGTTTCTACCGTTGTTTGACTACATTAGTCACAGCTTCAATAATAACTAGATTCTGTGTTGGTAGCAGAGCAGTAGCTAAAAAATGTAAGGCTTTTGGCCCTTTGGCGTGACAACGGCCCCCCAGCCTCCACCTCTGCCTGAAATCTGTTAGCCTCAGTTAGCTCACGTTCCTCACCGTCTCTCCTGCAGCTCCGCGGGCGACTGCGACACGAGCCAGAATAAGGGCACCTGCTGCAGGGAACAGCACTTCATCAACTTCCGTGCGCTCACCTGGACACAGTACTGGATCATCGAGCCGGCGGGTTACCAGGCCTTCAGGTGCACCGGAGGATGCAAACAGCCCAAACGCAACTACGGCTACGGAGAGCGGCGGTGCGCGGTGTCAGACAGCGCCCCGCTGCCCATCATGTACCTGGTGAAAAAGGGGGACTACACTGAAATCGAGGTGGCCGAGTTCCCCAACATGATTGTGGAAAGGTGTGCGTGCATGCTGGACAACGTCTCTGTCGTATGAAGGCAGTAGTAGTTACGGACTTTTGGGGAAAATCACTGGGAAATTATAGTGGGTGATTTTTTTTTTTTTTTTTTTTTTTGCTAGGTGTTGTTTTATTTAATGTTTTTCACCAACTTGTCAAGTACTTTCTATTTAAATGGACGTTCGGAGGGAGCGCTTTATTCCCCAACAGACAGAGGTGTCCAAGAATTACGCTCCAAGAAGAGTAGCACTACTTCAGCATGTTTCTATTCAGGTCAAAGTAAAACGTAGCCTCGTCCAACAAATGACTCCAGTGTAAAAGAGCATTTGGTGAAACTGCTACTGTTTAAAACATAATCGAGTATTTGAGCATTGCATCATCAGAAGGACCAGAATGTGAAGCTTTGTGGAAATTTGGGCATTTTAAGGACCCAAACGAAGATTATTCGTAGAAGTAACATCATCACAAAATATCCAAATCAGATAAAGATAAATAAATAAACTACGTACTTGTAAGTCATGACTCACCTCTGCCAGCAAACTCCATCTCCTTCCACAAGCACTTCTATAGATTTTGTAAGAATTGTTTCTTTGAAACATGAATTTGTCTGATTTGTGTTCACTCTCGTGCAATCATTCAGATCCAGTGTGATGCATCCCTTTTGTTAAAAAAAATAGCTGTATATATATGTATATATATATATATATATATATAATAATGAGTTTATGTGTGTAAAATAAAACATTTGTTCCTCACGATTCTCCTGCTGTCCTGGTTTATCTGTCTGCCTCAACTCACATTCGTGATTGAATTTGAAGTCATGGCTGCAGCCGCCTGCGTCTTTATCCCGTCTCGGCTTGTTAGGCTTCATTCATTTATTATAACGTGGTGTTTGCTCTCAGAGCCGGGGGGTCCTGTCATTCACTAATCTGCCGCTGATGAGGATCAACACAGCAAAGACTGTCAGCCGCCTCCTGTCTTACCTTTGCAGCATTCTGTCACTTTACAGCCAGAGCCTGGGTCATGAAAATGAGCTAATTCTCCTTTGGGTCAGTGATTTCTGAGTTCCAGCTAGTTTAGCTAATTCAAGCTATTTGATTTAGCTGATTCTAACTAATTTAGTCAATTTAGCTAAATCTTTGGGTCAAAAAAATGAGATTTTGCTAATTCTTGCTAAGTCACTTATTCTAACTAAATTAGCTAATTTGCGATGTCTATCTAATTTAGCACATTCCAGCTAATTTACTTAATTCTATGCAATACAACTCAGGTTCAGTCACATTGGATTTATGGAGCTTTTAATTCCTTACAAAGATACTGAATTCCATTTTTTGGTGAACTTTGTCTAGGCCATCTTAATGTATAACTGCTTTATTTGTCGATGTTCCCCTGCTGGTCATTGAGCCTCTGCTTCATCCTCTTACAGGTTTTCCTCCAACTCAAATCAGCCTGATGCTGCTGGTACTGCGCGTCATCATAGGGATGATGGATTTAGTTTGTTTTCCTTCACAGTATTGTAGGACTTTACTCATATTCACGCCAAAACTCTAAGAGCAATGTTTTAGCCATGAACTTTTTACCTTTTTTATTCTGTGGTTTCAGGAACTGACAGTCTGACTTTTTTTCCCCCATTATCCGACCGTGACATTTGCTGCGCTCCTCCTGAGCACAGCAAAGACCACAGGAGACTTTAATCATCACGAGTAAAATGTGTCTACTGTTGTTTTATACTCTGTTTTCAGATGACGGATTGATCGGAGATTTGTGAGATGTACAACTCAGAATTTAGCTAATTTAACCTATTTGATTTAGCTGAATTCCTACATTTTACCTGTCTGCTGTGTTCCTTGGTGGTTGTGGTGCTGTTTGTTCTCTAAAAGACCTTCAAGGTCTTCATAGAACAAGTGCCTTTATACTGAGCTGGAGAATTAGATCACGTTTTAAGACCGTTTGTGGCTCAGATTTTTAATTTGAGGCGTCACAGTAACAAATACACACCACACTTTTCAGCTTCTTGCAGTTTGTTGCCAAAACAAAATTCCAATCTTTTTTTTTTTTTACACTTGTCAAGCCCCAATCAGATCCAAATATAGTGAAAAGAGGCCAAATGGGTAATATACCTTTGAAATAAAATCATATTTTAAGTAAAATTTCTACAAATATAAATTACAAATGGCACAAAAATATTTTCAAAAAGTGGTTTTTATTTCAATCATGATGGTCCACATTCCTCATTCAAATGTTTTAAATATTTTTTTGTGTTGGAATATTCATAAAATTTCTACTTCGTTCTCTAAATATTACAACGTTCTTCTCATAATAAAGAAACAAACCAACAAAAAAAAATTCATAGCCTGACTAACATCTTGTCGTAGAGTTGACTTGAATTCAAAGTCCAAATAAATACAAGCTGTGCCTTGGCCATGCTGAAGTCACTACGAATTATGAAAAGCCATAAGATTGATGGAGAAAAAAAAATTGTTTTTTAAAAAAATTAAACAAGATAAAAGTGTTAACTGATAAAAACCCAATCTCTTTTGTATGAACACTGGGACTGGCGTCTGCAATTCCAAACATCGGGGTTGAAGTTGTTAGGACTTGTTGGTAAAACTGGATTGGAGTGGTGGGAATTTTTCCCCAACAGCAATCGAGAATTGAAAGCTCATCAGGGACCGTATTGAATCAAATCAGTTTATTCCTGTCTTTTTCCACAAGACAAAAAAAAAAAAAAAAAATACATGTATATAAAAACTATTTTAAGTTTATAACTCAAAATACAACCATTAAATGTAAAGGAACACATTTCAAAATGTCGGTTTAGTACTAAAACATCAGCAATAATAATTTTAAAAAGTCAGTTTTGTTCAACGTCGATTCAAATTTTGCATTCTGCTCCATGTACGCAACCTGTACAAACTCTCCAGGCATTTACAGTCAAGTTGGAGGGACGACCTTTAATTATTTATTACAGTGTTAACATTCATGCAAGACTAAAACAATCAGAGAAAACAAACAGCTGGGAACCACTGGGTTAGTTCGGCACGTCCAAGCTGAGAGGGGATGAAAGAAACTGAAGAGATGTCGGGCGTGAAGAGAGTCTGAGCCGGTTGGGTATGGAGAGAGGGAGCTGCCCTTATTGCCAGGCCACAGGGTCACCAACATGAACGGGTTTCAGCCCTCAAACTGTTGGTGATGCTGTTGGGCCCTTTAGATTTGCTGGTGAATCTAAACTTGACTCAAAAAAAAAAAAAAAACTAAAGAGGGAAAGGAAAATGTGTGAACTTGCGATTATTTGTGCTTCAGTGCTCGCCGTGTCTCAGAGGACTACTGCAGTGGCGGAGCAGCTGATGGAACCGAGAACAGATCCTGAGAATGAGGTGGAGTCTACGACGCAGGGTTAGGGCCGTTGTAGACGGAAGAAAAACAAATGGTAAATCTATTGGTTAAAGAAAAAAAAAAAAAAAAAAACCCAAAAAAACTTTCCAAGAACAAAAATAGAAGTTTCAGAGATAGAAAAGTCAAAAATTTGGTAGGAAAAAAACCCCAAAACATTTCTGAGCTTGAAGTAAAAATTTCAGGAAGAACGTTAAAATTATGAGATGAATCAAGTTTTCTAAAAAAAAAAAAAAAAGCACGTTCAGGTTTTAAAAGTAAAACATCTTCAACTTTTGGAAAAAACATTTTAAAGTTTTTTTCTGCAAAATGTCTGAGATTCATCAACATCTCAGAATTTCAAGCAAATTTTCAAACTCAATTTTTTTTCTAGAAAATGTAACATTTCAATCTAAAATTTTCTAGAAGGGAAAATTTGAGTTTCTCCAAGCAAATGTATTTTTCTAGAAAATTTCTCAGATCAATCTCCTAATTTTCAAGTATAGCAAATTCTCAAAATCAGAAAATTTCCCCCCCAACCCCAAGAAAAATCTTAAGATTTATTAATTTTTTTAGATTTATCTATACAATGAGTTTCTGGTAGAAATGTATTTTTCTCTCATATCCATAACGGCCCCAACAAGCCGCCGTAAGATTCAGTGCACACACAAAAAAAATAATTTAAAAAAAAAAAAACAAAACAGGCAGAATGGAGTATAAAATGGCTTTGCTTTCTCCTGAAAACAGCTTAGCTGAAATACTTTCTAAAATTTATTTACAGCGATAAAATGGAAACATGCGACGCGGCGGCATCTTTTATTTCTTCAAAGGTCATTTACTCACCTTTGACATAAATGAAAGCCATAAGCCGGGATGAATGTAAAAAAAGCAAACAAGTAGTTTATTGTAGGTCTATGATATTACAAGTTTGATGGTGGGAACAAATAAAGAAAAAAAAGTCATTAATCTACTATCATCTGTTTAACTGTTGAACATTTAAGCGCGGACATGAACAGAAGCTGTCCTGCTTTCCTGTTTATGACAATCGTCACATTTCTTATATGTCTGACAAACTACATAGAAGAAAAAGAATATTTACAATTTGTAATAAAAAAAACAAATCAAAGCAATCACAGCACAGATAAAATTCACAACCCTGAAGAACAAATGGGGAAAAAAAAAAAAAAAAAAAAAAAAAAAAAAATCTAATTGCCCCACTTCTGTGTCCTGTTCCTGATTTTACAATTTTTTTTAAAAGCATGTCATTTAAAAAGTGGCTGAGGGGGATTAAAAAAAAAAAAAAAAAAAAAAAAAAAAAAAAAAAAAAAAAAAACCCAAACAAAATAAACCAAAACCCAAACAGTGTCTGAATGAGACAGAACCCACAATCAAATAGACGTTATAAAGCTCTGATTACGTTTTCTGCTTCCTGCTCTCCTCTGGTGGAATGTTCTGGATCCAGATCAAGTCGCCTCGCGCTGTTTTGGAAGTCGGTGGGTTTTCGACCGTTAAAAGTGGGTTTTAGGGGAACAAAGTCAAACAGTAAAGAGGGAGAGAAGAGGGGGGGGATGTTCCGTGGCTAGTGGTGGGTTCTCAGTGTCGGCCACCAGTCCATAAGAACAACTGTCTTAGTAATATCCAGGCTGGTACTGCTGGCTCCAAGGTTTCTGGTTCCAGAACTGCAAAACAAAGTTCAGAGTTAAAACTGGACGAAGTCTAAAGAATGCGCCTTTCATTTCTGGAAAAAATGCTGCATTAAAAACACAAACGTCAATGTATTTCATGTGATAAATTAGCACAAAGTACCTGTGAAGTGGAAGGAAAGGAGATATCCACTACTTTGATATCGCCTTATGAAGTGCAGAGCAATTCACTAGGGCTGGGCAATGTATCGAGAATACTCGATACATTACAATATTTTCAATTCACAATAGTTAAAACGGCTATATCGCAACCAGAGTAAAAATCGTCGATCAAATAAACTTCTGCTGTGGCAGAACACGCCGACACAGCGGTGGTTGATTAGCTAATCTAAACAGCTGCTTTGCTGATGCTGTGGGTTTGTGTTTATTTCGCCTTTTTTATTTTAAAGCTGAAACAAAACGCACCTCATTCCACAGCACATCTATACGTCAAGTTTGTCAAAGTCAAGCGCAACTGACCTACTTCCCGCTCCCTCGCCATTTTTTTTTTCTTAGTTAAAACTTATTTCTCATCTTGTTATCTAGTCATTGTGAAGACGGTTCATCGTCAAACACGGCATTTCTTTTTATATGAGCTGACATTTAAGTCTAGCA